TTTTGATTTTACATGTGTCACTTGGGCTCAGTGGGTAACTGGATAATCTGTTTCTCATTTTTAAAAGAAGTATAATATTTATCAAAGCATCTAAAATATTTACGAGGCAGAAAAGAACTCAAGAGATCTTTTCTAGTCTCTGGTCTTCAGAGGACTGCAGGTAAACCATCACAGAGTGTAGATACTCATCGTCTTTCAAGAAATTTCCACTAAAGAAGACAAAACACAGCTCCATAGAAACCCTGTGTCACAGAATTTACCATCTAACACTCAATTCTGTATAAACTAGTTTCTCAACATTGGCACTACTGATATTGAAAGCTGAATAATTCAGGGGCACCTGGGTGGTTCAATCGGTTAAGTGCCCAACTTCTGCTCAGGTCATGATCTCACAGCTCATGAGTTCAAGCCCCACGTTGGACTCTGAGATGACAGCTAGGAGCCTGGAACCCTTCAGTTTCTGTGTCTCCCTCTCTCTCTCTCTCTGCCTCTCCTCTCTCTCTCTCTCTCTCTCTCTCTCAAAAATAAACATTTTTTTTAATTTAAAAAAAAGGAAAATAAAGCTAAATAATTCTTTGTTAGGGGAGCAACCTGTACATTATAGGGTGTTTTGCTACATCCTTGACCTCTAGATGACAGTAGTAACCCCCTTCCCCAGTGATGACAACCAAAAATAACCCAGACATTGCCAAGTGTCCTCTTGGAAAGTAGCCTCCGTCGAGAACTATTGGTAAAAACTCACCAATTTGGTGGCCGAGTCCCTGCATGTACTTGAAGTCATGAGTGACAACCATTTCTATATCTATAGCAATACCCAGCTGCTTTCTAGGATTGTGCTTCTCAGGACGGTAGCCACTAGCCCCGTGTAGCTATCGGCACTTGACACATGGCTAATCTGAACTGAGATGTGTTGGGAGTGTGAAACAAATACGAAACTCCAAAGACTCTGATAGAACAAAAATTGCTAGGCATCTCACTAAAAATTTTACGTTGATTACATGTTGACATGAACATATTTTGGATATATTAGGTTAAATAAAATATATCATTATAATCCAGTCCAATTTTCTTTCCACTTTTTTAACGTGGCTCGGAGGGAATTCGAAGTTACAGCTACGGCTTGCGTTATATTTCTGTTGGTCTGTGCTGTTCCAGGAAGCCAAAGCGCTTGGCGTGTGAAGTACTTTTGTTCCTCATCAAGCCACCAGTATTTAAAGAATGTCCACTGTGTGTGCCTAGGATTGCATTAGTTGCTTTTGGCTACATCTATCTGAGTTAAGTTCATTTACGTGAAGTGGTGTCATTTCGTCTTATAGGTAGAAAAGGAGGAGCTCCGGAGATAAATCACCTAAAACCACTCTTCCAATTGCAATGTCAGAACCGATTAAATACAACCTATCGCTCCTGATCCCCAAATAGTTTTTAGTCACAAGATATATATGTCCCTTAACAGGACAGTGTGTTTCTTCTATAATTATTGTAGAGATAAAAATCAGATTCCAAAGAAAACACTTTCCAGACACCTTTTAAGACAATAAAGCCAGCGTTTGTTTGAAGGGAAAACAGAAACAAATGGGGGCCTCAAAAGGCATTACTTTGTATAATAATTTAATTAATAGCATGTTGAGAAAAGAAAAACATTTTCCTTTATGTTCTCCGTCACTTTCGATTTCCTTTTGTGGACACTCCTGCAATCTGTTGGGTTTGACACAAGTCCCTGGCTTTTCTCTGCGTGTTTGATTTGCATAATGGGCCAGGATGCCTCATGGGCACTCGCTTAAGATCAACTGAGTTAATTTGCTTTCTTAACTCAGGTTTAAGTGTTTCATGGGCACTAAAGTCGAGATCAACTGAGTTAATTTGCCGGCTTAACTCAGAAAATTAGAATCACCGTTGCCTCAATTTCTTTTAAGCATAATTGTAATCACGGTCACTTGGCAAAGGAAGAGGTCCAAAATGTGTGCCTACTCTTTCCCGGCTAGACGCAGAACAAAACACACGGGACAGGAAAGCCCCACAAATGTTTTACCTGTGAACAAGAATGATAAAACTAGTAAATTATGTTGGAGCAGTCATGGTCCAACATTTTCCTAATCAAATGAGCATAATCTGCGAAAAGACTTACCATTTTTTATAGGAGGTCACTATTATAGCCCTTCACAGCACACAGAGCCTCTGAGAAATGCTGCGTGCCTTTGAAAAATTGAAGACAATTCCCCGAGACAAGAAAAATGCAACTGAGATCAGCGGGAAGCAAGACAGCATGGGAGGGCTCATTTTAGAAGAAGGGAGGAGTTTGGGAGAAGCTTCCTAGGACACTTGAATGTGGCATCTCTAAGAGAGACATTGTGCCATCGTCCAGAGCATGCAATTTAAGTAGAAAACAAGACTGCCAGCATGGGTATATATTTACTTATTTATGCTTATTTATTTATCCATTTGTTCTCTCTCTCTCTCTCTCTCTCTCTCTGTATATATATATATATGTGTGTGTGTGTGTGTGTGTGTGTGTGTGTGTGTGTGTGTATCAGGCACTGTGTTAAATGCCCTGGATTTCCTGGTAAAAGGAAGAGACAAGTGGGCAGCAACTGGCAACCGTCAACACCAGACAATTATTCTCTTAAAAAATTTTTAGGGGCGCCTGGGTGGCGCAATCGGTTAAGCGTCTGACTTCAGCCAGGTCACGATCTCGCGGTCCGGGAGTTCGAGCCCCGCGTCGGGCTCTGGGCTGATGGCTCAGAGCCTGGAGCCTGTTTCCGATTCTGTGTCTCCCTCTCTCTCTGCCCCTCCCCCGTTCATGCTCTGTCTCTCTCTGTCCCAAAAATAAATAAACGTTGAAAAAAAATTAAAAAAAAATTATTTTTAAACTTGAATTTGAGCATCTACAAATGGAAATGCTGAGCTATCTATCAGGGCATTATGGTGCAAGTTTTTCCAAATGTCCCTTCACGCTAAAAGAATTATTATGTCCAGCTCCTTGCACTCCAAGTACCAATGATCTAATTCCTATGCCATTCATGTATGCATTCATTCAATAATTCTTTAATTCGATTTGTTTTCCTGAAGATGGTTAAGGCAGTCAGTGTGTCTTCCTCTTTGGTTTTTATACAAAATTCATTAGTAGGAGGCCATCTGTAGGAATTAATAAAAACTCCTTCTTGCTTTTAATATATCAATTGGATGAATCACATTAATTCATAAATTTGATCTTTTTCACAGTACATTTATGAAAACATATGAGAACTTGATGAATTGTGCCTACTTGAAATTGAATGGTTTATATCAACTCATAAACTTAATTGTTTTTAACATCACACACTCATAGAAACATATGAGAACTTGATGGCATATTTCTAGTTGAAATTCCTAGGGTGTGTATCAGCTTATGTTATGTGTTTTCCGTCAGGAAAGCATCTGACCAAAGTCAGATGATAAGTCAGTGAGTCTATTCCTATCCATCAGATATCTCAGCTTTGCAAACTCGAACAAAAGAGTTTCTTCCACACTTCCTCACAGTGCTGACTTCTCTTTATTCCAATATCCGCCAAACCATTTAAAATTCCATAAATGTTCAAAGAAGCATGTACCCCAAATTAGAAACACTATTCCAGTTTCATTTCTCTAGCAGGCATTTATGGAAGCCAGATTTTACTGTTGTGGTGTTTGTAATTGAGAGTTAGTAATAAGCAATGAAACAACACCAAGTCAAATAAGTCCAAGGTAAGATTTGATCTGCAGGCACAGTGCTTCTTAGAAGTGGGTTCTAGTGAGAAATGTGACTCATGCCAATAAAATTAACTCCAGAATTCAGTGCTCAAGGCTCTACTGCGCTAAAATTCCATTTATTGCAAATTGTGCTATTTCCAATTTCTTTTAGTAATAAAATGCATGAATAGCCCAAAAATAAAGGCTATAAAGAATCAACAATGCCAAGAGCTTTTCATCAGAAGCTCTTGTAGAACGGAGGGACTAGAGCTCTCTGATCCTGTTCTCTCTTCCCTTGGGCGATACTCCACAATAACTCACTAATCATTAATAATTCCTTTGCCCATTTATTTCAATGAACACATAAATCAACTATTTACTCTAGGATGAGACATGGGAAACTATTTGAAGCCAAAATTCGTTTGGGCATCAACAGTATGTAAATTACATCGTCTTCTGTTTGAACTCTAAGTAAGTGAAGGCAAGGAGGGAAGAAAGAATAAGACTGAATGGTAGGTAATTTGCTCTGTGTCTTTGCTTGTCTAACGCCATCCTTCTAGGTGGGTTCCATACTGTGTTGATAACACAAAAGAAAGTGATACCTACTGATTTTGATGAGGTTGAGTGGCATGGCATGCTATGCGAGAGCAGTTTCTGTATTTGCCTTTCTTCATTACGCTCTCCCTTTACTTAGGCTGTTCAGTAATTCATAGATTATTTAGATTATTTAATAGACAGAGACAGTAGATGCTGTTTTACTTCCTCAACACTACACTGAACCAACCTAAAAGTATGACATTTGGTAAACAAAAGAATGTAACGATTACTTAAGCTTCAGAGTCTCACGATCACCATGGCTTTCTCAAAAAAAAAAAAAAAAAAAAAAGGTTATTAGAAAGAAGGCAAGATGCCACTGATAATAAAACAGGCCATATAACACCATATAATCTAAAATATTTAAGGAGAATGACTACTTGTCCCTTCATAACAAACCTAATGATTAAATGACTGGTTTCCTGCATACAGAATTGCAAAATCGAGATTTTTTTTCAACTTCAATGCAGTGTTAGTGCTACTTGCTGATCTCGGTGGCTTGTAAAATGCCATCTTCAACAAGATCTAACATAGTATAATCCTTTCTGAAAACCCCAGGGGAATTAGGTAATATAAGCAATTCAGAAAAGTGTCAAAGTTTAATTTCTTCTACCCCTAGGCAGGTTCAAAAACGATTCTTAAAAATTCCTCACCGTCACCAAAGTTTAATTTATGACTGAAGAGTTGTAGAAAAATCCTACCTGTCTCCCAGTTCCAGGCAGAGTTTTCGTTTTGAAACTGTATCCCTATCTTTACTGTGGTTTCCATAGTGACAATTGGGTTTGAGTTTCATCCTGAGATGGTGTTTTCAATAGAAGCGGAAGTAGCTTCACTGTGGCAATGCACTTCAAGCCTGATAGGGTCCTGTGACATGAAAGAAATAGATGATCTTTGAAAATTATGTCCCTAATTATACCTTGCTGGAAATGAAAACAGGTATGACTTAGGGAAAAAAAGTTTAGAATACATTTGAATATAAGTTATGTTTCTCTTGAAGGAATAAACCCTCCTTTCCGCCCAAATTATATATATATATATGTCTATAGACATTATATATGTATACGTATACATGTATATACATGTATATATATGTATACGTATACATATATAATGTCTATAGATATATAAATATATATGTCTATAGACATATATATGTATACATATATGTATACTTATATGTCTATATATAATTTATATATGTATATGTATACATATATATGTCTATAGACATATATGTATACATATACATATATAAATTATATATAAATATTATATAAATATATATATATGCATATACATGAGGTAGTATTTTAGACATATGTCTATATATATATTTATATATACATATTTATATATGTATATGTATATATATAGACATATATATTTATATATACATATTTATATATGTATATGTATACATATATATATGTCTATAGACATATATATGTCTATACATATTTATATATGTATATGTATACATATATGTCTATAGACATGTATATGTATACATATACATATATAAATTATATATATAAATATTATATAAATATATATATATGCATACACATGAGGTAGTATTTTAGAAACAAAAGGTTGGGAGATGTCTTCAAGATTATCTAATCTGCTGTTGACAAATACACAGTTCAGCAAAGAGAATGTTAAGGAAAAAAAAGAACACTTCTTGCTTCCTGGGAATATGCACTACAGAAACATCAACACTACCTACATGAGAAATAAGCAGAGACAGGCATCAAGGAGGAGAATTTTTTTTTTCTCAGTTCCAACACATTGGAGATAAAAATTAATAGGCAAAGTGTATCAAAAAAACAGATGCTCTGCTGAAAAGCCCTTCAGGCAGAATTGCGTCAGCTGGCTTTCTCCGGTGAGGCAGGACTTTACCGACTCACAGAATAATTGCTACATACTCCAGTCAAAGCATTTTACTGTACCTGGCTTTATGCTCAAGCAACCATCCATTGATGGGGATAGGGAGTCCGTGGGGGCTGGAGTGACAGCCAGAAGATGCATGTGATTTTAGATTATGTTGCTTTTCATTTGAAAAGTGCTATCTCTCGACTTCCTAAATGATTAGAAGGCTCAGTAATTGTTTACCTCATTTTTTAATCTAAGCAAAGCGGTAACAAGCATTATTTGCGCATCTTAGGACTCAAAGAAAAGGTTCACACCTTCACACTTTTAAATATATAATAGGTGGATATGTCAGTAAAACACACATACACACACACACACACACACGCACGCAGAAGCGACCAGAACGTTGTAGGTAAAAAGAAAATAGATATGATTAAAATTATCTGCATGTAAAGAGAACGTACGATGAAATTAACAAGGCAAAAGAATGCAAGGATGTTATGGAAATTATTTTAACCTAAAAATGACATATTCTTCGTGCCTATCACCTTATAGCAGCATTGCCTGGCAGTGTTTCTCAAAGTGTGGCCCTTGGACTAGCAAAGCCAACATCACATGAGACCCTGTTGTAAGTGTGAATTCTCAGTCTCCACCCAAGACTCCCTGGATGAGAAACTCTGGGACCAGCGATCTGTGTCATAACAGATCCTATAGGTGAGGCCCTTGCCTGCTAAATTTGAGAAACTTTGGCCCTAGTACAGTTCTCAAATCCTGGGTGTGCCATAAAGATCACTAGATGCACATTAATAACTCTGATTCAATGAGACTTGCTCCCCAGAAATTTTAACTCAAAAGATATTTTTAATTCTACTCTTGATGATTTTGATGCAGCTGGACATCTGACTACAATTTGCAAATACTGGGTTAATGCTTTGGAGTGTGGTAGTTCCCGTTAAAAGCACAGTATGACCATTTCTTGTCTTTAGGCAAGTCACCCTGAGTCCATTTTCTCATCTATAAATAATATTGCCTATCTCAAATGATGGTAGTGAGGTTTAAGTGAAATAAAGTATAAAATTTGCACAGCAGAGTGCCCAATACAAGTTAAGTGCTTAAGAAGTGATCATCTAAGATGGCTTATCACTTTCCATATTGCTGGGAATTTATTTAAAAATTTTTTTTAATGTTTACTTATTTTTGAGACAGAGAGAAAGCATGAACAGGGGAGGGTCAGAGAGAGAGAGCGGGAAACACAGAATCTGAAACAGGCTCCAGGCTCTGAGCTGTCAGCACAGAACCCGACGCGGGGCTCGAACTCATGGACCGCGAGATCATGACCTGAGCCGAAGTCGGACGCTTACCCGACTGAGCCAACTGGGAATTTATTTTAAATGTCTAATATTATCAATAGTGTCTAACTTAATCCAACATTAAAACACGCCAACTTATGCAGACATCTTTGGTCTTCCATGAAATTCAAAAACAAAACCGATTCAATAGACATCTACCAAGGAACAAGAACTTGACTCCGTCTCAGAAAAACATACAGGTTTCTATTTTTGTGTGACTATTATAAAATATTTATTTCAAATAAAACAAAACAGGGTAGTAGGTAATAGCAGAAACTCTGGTTCTAGACTTCCTAAATTCAGACCCTGGTTCTGTTACTCTTTGGCAGTATGGCCTTGATTTAATCCCAGGGACCTCAGTTTTGTCATGAGTAAAATGAGGATAATAAAAATTTCTTACCTCATAACATTGTGGGGAGGATCAGATGAGTTAATATGTGCAGTGGATTCTGAACAGCACTAACTATAAACCTTCCACAAATGTTCTTATTATTTAACTAGAAAACCACTGAAATGAGTTCTCTATGTATTGAGTATGATACATTTGAAACCAAATTTAAATGTTTTATTTATTTATTTATTTATTTTTGAGACAGAGAGAGACAGAGCATGAGCAGGGGAGGGGCGGAGAGAGAGGGGAGACACAGAATCCGAGGCCGGCTCCGGGCTACGATGTCAGCACAGAGCCTGACGCGGGGCTCGAACTCATGGAGCGTGAGATCATACCCTGAGCCGAAGTTGGACGCTCAACCGACTGAGCCACCCGGGTGCCCCTTTTTGGAACCAAATTTAAACCTGAACTTTTGTCTCAATGATTAAATAGAAATTAGCAATGCTGTAATTCTGAATAAAAGTAGATTTTTAAATTTACATTATTAATACTGAGTACAGAGGTTCAAAATGAGAGCAGCTTCTTGTTTGCCTTGAGAATGAAGATTTGAGCAAAGCCTCGGGTCAAGGGAACTATAATGTTATTGCTTTATCTACTGTTGGGTACTCAAGAGTGATTGGAGTCCCGTTAGCAGATCTGAATAAAGTGTAAAAGCAATTCCTCTCTAAATATATGAGAAACCATCCTGATGACCTAGTTTTTAATTAAAATTTTATTAGATATGTAAACTCTTGGAGAATCAAAGGCACAGTTTAACAACTGAAATAAGTCTCTATTTGATATATTTAAGATAGCTGAAATTTACTGAAATATTCTGACAGTATGCCAACATTAGTGGAAAACAATTTGTAAGAAAAGCAGATAAAGAGAATTGGCCATTATCATGCACTTGCTGAAAACACTATATAAGAACCCACACAACTTAGAAAAAGTTAACCTCACTGTAGTCCAGAAACCCACACATTTTTGAAGGCCTGGCTTGCCTTCAAATACTTCAGACTGCAAAGTCAACATGGTAAATTCTTTCCACGTTTAATTCATTAAAAAAAAGATCCATATTATTCTTGAATTTGTTTCTGATCTTAAAGAAGATATCTGCTTAACCTTAAGAAGCTTAGTTCTTTGGGGTTCTTTCTAGAATCAAACAAAACTCTTGCATCATATGCTTTCGGATACACACGAAGCAATACTATCCCAACACCCACTTCCCCCAAAACTCAAAGTCACATTTCATTTCTTTTTGTAATTGATAGCCTTAGAAAAGATAAGATACAAGCAAAGCCTTTCTCTCACCTTTTGCTGAGAACATTGCAGTCATATCGTTACTTAGGTCTTAATTACTCCGGTCTTAAAATAGGTATATTATGGCCTTTATTGCATGATACAGATTTAGAAAATGCAGCCCATCAACACTAGATAGCCCACAAGCATCCTACAGCAGATTCAAAATGAAAGTTAAAAAAAAAAAAAAAAATGCAAGGAGGCACCAGGAGGTTTTTATCGACTGGTGAAGTTAAAAAGTTAAAAATAAATATTTGCCTAAGGTCATTTTTCGCTTTTATGGAAGGGTTAGGATAGAACAGGTTAGGATTGGGGACAATAAGAGTATAGATGGAGTCTAGGATAATCCTAGGCAAAATTTCAAAATAATTAAATATCCAATTCCCTTCTTTGGGTTGAGCGATAAGAGACTGACATTTTTGTGGGTCAAAAAGAGCGAATACGGCAATTTTATAGGATTCAACCTTGATCTTTCTGGTGCTCTTTCTCTCCCGGCCCCAGGTGCCAACCGCCTTTCTATGGTCCAGACCCCGAGAGCCCAGCTGCATGAAATCACACTGGTTTGCTCCCCTTCAAATCCTTCATACTCCAAAATCAGCTTTCACCCACTCCAAGTGAAATCTTATGTAGAGGAGTTCAGATAAAGTAAAGGAATTTAGTCCATGAGGGAAATACTTAGGGATAGATGGGCCTTCCAGGACTACTTACGCCAAAACCGTACACACAGCCAAACTCTTTACCCCACATACCTATAAAAAGAAAAGAAAAGAATGAAATGAAATGAAATGAAATGAAATGAAATGAAATGAAATGAAA